TTTGAACTGATTACCATGTCTTCTGTCAACCTTGTAATTATTTTGTCCGTCTAAATGGGGTACGTAACTATTTTATAAGTCAATGTTGTGTTGCAAATCAAGCTATGCTCTAAAAAGGTGTTGCATATATTGTTTTAATTTTTGAAGTGATTCTAATGTAAATAAAGGGCGTGATTGGATGGAAGAGCACAGATATACAGTGTTACTACCGGTGCCTTTTTTAATACCCCAAGCCAAGCCCACTTGCATCGAAAGACCGGACGCTTCCTTTCGGGAGCTATGACACATGCTGCTTCATCGTTCGGGACTCAGCAGTTGCATTTTGCAAGTTCCTGCCTCGCCAAGTTCCTTTCACCTGCAGGCGACAAAAGAGCGGAGGGATCTGGCTCGGGAAATTTCACGTCGCCTGCACCTTTGTTTGGGTCTGCAAGTGGCGCCTTGCTGACGAACGCACTCAGCGGGCTTCCTACCAGTGAATGTCGTACATCGACAGTTCGCCCACTATCTCTGCTTATCGACCTCGGAGCCAGTTGACGTCATGGTTCTACTTGGGCAACCTGAGCTACTTCCCGGATACAGCAGAAACGTGGGGTGTGCGGGCAAACCTCAAGACTTAAAGGCGCCCAGCTTGTCATTTGAGCGACGGGAGGTACAGCTGACAGGCGATACCCTGGTGGGCCAAGAAGCGCTTGTCCTGCAAGTTCATCGAGCAGTCATGGCCAGTGAAGTCCTGGAATGAGGACCCCACCCACTTGACCTCAAGAGCAATGACCTCGATGGTTTATATAAACATTTTTTCTCTCTCTCTCTTGAACCGAAGGACATAGAGATTTTGGCCAGTGGTATGATTAGAGCGAACTGCTTGTTTGGATGCCAGCCGAGACCGAAAAACAGATGAAGAAAGAAGGAAAGGATGCACTGATCACAAAGTTTCTGAGGAAGGAAACATCATGTTGGTCCGCCGGCAAGCCAACGGCATGGTCAACATGACCTCAACGCATGTGGGAACTGGAAACATCAGCAAGGCGAAGAGGTGGAGCAAGTCCACAAAAACACACATGGAAACAGATTGCCCCGAGGTAATTTTTCAGTACAAGTATGTTCGCTGTGCAATGGCCGCCGGTATGGTCCGCGCCTGTTTTCCTTGTTTCTCACCGACGTATTGCAATATGAATGCTCCGGGCTCCCCAAGAAGCTGAACTGCTGGCCACTATGCGTGAGTAACGTCGGTACCACTGCCGGTTATGCCGTAGCCTCAAGCGCCACTAGGCCTAAAAGCCTGCGTCTCACGTCTGCCCGACTGCACGTTGCCTGGCTCCTACTTGCTGCCGCAGACATCCCCCTAAACCACGGACCACGACACTCATGCCCTCGTTGCGCCCGGGCTTAAAGGACAACACAGCAGCACTACAGTGCAACAAGTGCAAACCTCTGGGTGCACCAAAAATGTGAATACTTCCGCTTTTGACCTAACGCCGCAACTCCGCATCTCCTGAAGAAGGGTATTGTGGCACATGCCAGCTTCCACGCTTCGACGACGAGCTATTCACAACAGTAACCCGGCAGTCTCCTGCAGCTCCCTTATCCACTACACTGCGGAACCAACCAACAAACAATCCCAGTCTGTCCATGCCACGAAGAAAGCATGCAACGCACCTGAACTTCTCATAATACAAGGTCCGGTCAGTCAAAAACAAGTTGCCTGAAATGAACAAAATGCTTGACGACACAGTGTTCACCCTCTCTCAAACCAGAAGGAATGGCTATGGTCAGAGTGGAGCACCGAGGGTTTGAAGGAAAGCTACCACTTCACATACTGCGTGAAGATGGTCCGCCACTGATGGGAAGAGACTGGATTTCTAAGATCAGACTGGACCACAGCCAACGTCAAGGAGGTGGAGTTAAAAGACAAACTGTGCGATCTCCTGAAAACACAAGAGGGGTTGTTTCGGGACGAGCTTGGCTGCATTGAAGGCGAAGAGGCAATCACTTTAGGGAAGGAAGCTCGCCGAAATTTCTGAAGGCACGCAACATGCTGTTTGCATTGAAATCAGCGGTGGAGAAGGAGCTGGAGAAGCTCGAAGCGCTTGGAATTATCGAGCCAGTCTCGCACAGCGATTACGCAACACCCGTAGTGCCTGTAATGTAATGTAGTGCCAGAAATCGATGCAGATATAGAACGTTGCGTGAAGCTGTGTGATGCCTGCCAGCAACAAAGGGGTGCTCCAGGACCAGCACTGCTTCACCCTTGGTTGTGGCCCACTCGCCTTTGGCAGTGGTTGCATCTCAATTTCGCAGGACCATTTCAAGGTCAGAACTTCCTGATCTGAGTCGACTCCCTTTCAAAATGGCCCGAAGTGTTTGTAGTGGGCACTACAACAGCAGAAGCCACCTTTGGTGTTGAGGGAGCTGTTAGGCCGTTTTGGGCTACCGGATGTGATTGTGACTGACAATGGTCCTCAATTTATTGCTGACCAGTTTGAAACCTTTTTAAAGGAAAATGGCGTGTGACATGTGAAGACGACACCCTCTCATCCGTCAAGCAATGGGCTAGAGGAACATGCTGTACGCACACTCAAAAACGCTTAGCGAAAGGATGCCAAGGGTCAACCCCTAAACCTTAGGCTGGCCAGTTTCCTGCTCACATACAGAAACCTGCCACATGTGACCACGCTCCAGAGCCCAGCTGAGCTGCTTCTTGGATGTCGACTGACAACACGCCTGGATCGTCTGAAGCCTTCCACTGAGCTGAACGCCCAAAAAGCCAAATTCCGACAGCTGTCAGCTGGTGGTAAGCGATAACACCAGTTCCAGATTGGTGAGACGGTGTACGTGAAGAATTTTCGCCGATGAGAGAATTGATTGCAGGGAAGAATCACCTCTCGAGCAGGACCAGTGTCCTACCGGGTGAAAGTCAAAACACCTGGTGGTACGTTCATTTGGCGAAGACACCTGGACCACCTGAATGACTATCTGTCTACCGTTCCTGACATGGACGACTACGAGCTGATGCTTCCGTGTTTGGGAGCCCCTGATCGAGTGTCAGAGCTGGCAAGTGACTCCGCAGCTATGGAAGCGAACGTGTGTGTCAGTGCGCAAAACTAGTGCAATTCAAGCACCACCACTATGCTAGCCTCAGCTTCGCTATCCACCGAGAACGCGGCGTGCCCCGAACTGGCATGAAGATTTTGAGATGTAGTTTTCAACTAAGGTGAAAGAGTGTTGTATTGCTGAACTACTGACGGCAGCACCAGCGCGCGCGCACGCCCAACGTGGCTTGATTGCTCGCGCCTCGCATTCCATCAGTGACCCAACTGCTACGATGCATGTCTGTACTCTAACATTTTAACTCACTTGTTCTTTTCCCTTACGCTATTAAATATGCTTGAACCTTCTACTGCTCGGAGGTATCCTAAAAGCACTACACAGTGCATGCTGCTTTTCTCCAGGTCTCCGCCCCTCTGATCAAGCCCATCCTGATCCACAGCTTTCAATGCATACTTGACTCTGGCACTGTACCTCTGGGATGGAAGAGACCCATCATAATGCCCAGCCTCAAGGGAAACGGACTTGACACCGACAGCACTGGTTCCTATCACCCCATCACCTCCACTTCAGTTGTGAGCCGCACACTCGAAACAATAGTAAACAAAATCCTGAACCAACTGGAGGACAGCAGCCTGCTTAATCAGGCACAACACGGATTCCGAAAGGGACGCAGCTGCGAGATTGCCTTAGCAGTGGCAGTCCACACGCTCAGCTCACACATAGACCAGTGCAAACCCTGCCAACTAGTACAATTGGATTTCTAAAAAGCATTTGATAGCATCGACCACACACTTCTCCCTAGACGAGTTGGCAAGAATGCTACAACATGCTTTGATTGAATTGTCAGTTTCAGGGTGTTTGGTTGGAAGCGGGGTCCAGATACTAGTCTTAGGTTTAATGGTGTCGAACATGGTGTGATTAAAGTTAGACGGATGCTGGGTGAAGTGGGCATCTAAAACTAGGCATCAGAAGAATTGTTTGCTCTCCACATGTAAAGAAAAAGGGTCAGGTCGGCTTTGAAGTGCAGGGACGAAGGACAGGCCCTTCGATAAGAAAACGTGTTCAGGGGCAGTAAGGGGTAAATCGTCAGGTATGGTGACATCATCATTGCATTGGATGGCGGCCTGATCATTTCGGGGCAAGAGCGTGTCTAGTTTCCTTGATATAGAGGAGAGACCATCGGCATAGAGATATGAGTTGACTTCAAGAATTTTGTTGACAAGTGTGTGAGTGACAAGGGAAAGATGAGTCAAGGGACTTGAGGAGTCTTTTAGCGACAATGAGGTTTTGGCGTAACCGGGCACAGTGGTCATTATGACATCTCAGATGTGCCTTCCCTAGGTGGAGAGCGGCATTATCTAATATTTGATTGTGACGCTTTTGAAGGGCCGGAGGGATTCTCATTGGCAGGTTGGGAGGAGGGCCGGTGTGTTTGAACGCAAGACACGTCAGGGTGCCGCACGGCGTGGTACAGGGGAGAAAAGTCAGGAGGTTTTGCGGACTGGTTGCTGCATACTAGAAGGGATCATAAGTTGGGCTGACAACAGTAACCCCCGAATTCATAGATGCAACTTAACTTGAAGTTGCGCCTCGACTTGCTGAAGACCGCCTCAAGACCCGCCTTGACTTGAACGTACTCAAGTTGGCTTTTTCATTTCATAGACCCACCGGCGCACTTCCTTCGTCAAGTCCGGTTGAAGTCACGGCCAGTCGCGGGACTCCACCTCTGGGAGCGAGAGTATCGTGCTCTTTTACACTTAAAATTTGTTGTATATTTAGAAAACAAATTATTTATTAAAGTTTTTTTTGTTACACTTGTTTAGCACTCAGAAATTGCCAAATCCATTATCATAAATGTTTTAAAAACGAAAGTTGCACGCGCATTTTAGACAAAAAGATGTTTTCATCTGGCAACGTTCGCACTGCGCGAGCGTAGTCGGGACTCACGAGCGTGCTTCAAGCCGATCGCCATCGTCGCTCTCATCTTTTCTATTTGAGATTTCCCCAACCTCTCAACGGCAACTAACAAAAAATCCGTGCCCCGCTTTACTCTCGATAAAAACCATATTCTAATTGGGCTTGTGCAGAAGTATAAAACTGTATTAGAATGTAAAAAAACCGACATTTCATCAGCAACTCTGAAGGCGGAAACGTGGGAGCGACTCAGCACTGAGTATAACAACATGCTTGTGGTCAGTCCACGGGACTCTAAACAGCTAAAAAAATGTTGGGGAAATCTCAAACAGAAGTGGAAAGAAGAGTCAGACCAAAAGCGAAACATTCACAAGACAGGTGAGTAACAAGTTACTTTGAGCAATCGAAGCACTTCAACGAGTGCGATTCGCGGATCTCGCTATTGCAGCCTTTTATACTGCCTTTTTGCCAGCTTGTGCATTTCGTATTGTCAGAGGTTCCCCATCAATATTTATGTTGAGAGGCTAAATCAACGAGTATGGCAAGACCGCAACATACACACAGTGTATGTTGCATTTGAGTTGAGTTCCTGACTGTCTCTATAGCTAAGTCTGCTCAGTTTTATATTAACCTTCTACAAATAACACGTTGGGGAGTGTGTGGCGATCGATTGTTTTGTCTGTGCAGTGGCATAACTTTATTGTCGTGACGATTCAGTCGTTGTCTTTAGGTTTTTACATAACAAGTAAACATGTTAGTATTCCCTTACCTTGTCTTTGTATGGAATTAGGTGCGCGTTATCCGTGATTTTATCCAGTGCCTCGACATATATAAAACTGCCATTAGGAGGGGGATGCCCCCCTGCCCCCGTGAGTGCCATCTCACTGTTGTTGGGGTATTGGCGGGGCACATGGCCGCTCGCCTCCCCAACGAGGACGACTGCAATGGGGCATCATACCTGCCCCCTGTCCAGAGCGAGCCGGTGGTGCGGATGCTTCAGCCAATGATCGACGGCGAGGATGACCATCATGACTACATGGGTACAGTGTTACATGCATAATGCGTCTGTGCAAGTTGCAGCACATTGGTACAGATTTGTGACCGTCAGACTTGTATGTTCGCGTGCGACTTACGTGCAAGTTGTGCGCGATGCATTCTCGATACATCACCATCTTTGGGTCCCTGACAGCACAGTCGCGGCCGCGCCAGAACCAGTCACATTTCGCCACAAATCTTTCTCTGGTTTCAAATACCCGAGAATTTTCAGCCCCTGTTAGGAGTCGTGTGTAATGGTTGGCTGCCGCATCAAGTCACAGTAAAAAAAAAAAAAAAAAAAAAGAGGAGAGCAAGCTTGGGGACTCTTTTTTTTTGAAGACTGATTCCGAGTGTCCGAATAGACGAGTGCAAGGAAGAGTGGCCGCTCTCCGTGAGAAGGCAATGCGAATGGCTCACGCAGATCAATCGGGGAAGACCTCGACAAGTGCTGAGTGTGTTCAAGGCACTTCGTTTCGAGTTAGTGCGCCGTTTGCTTTCGTCGGACATGAACGATAAGATTTCCTTAAAACCTCGCCCGCCGCTGCTGGTTATCGTAACATGCGTCGGTTGCATTTGGTTTTGACAGACCGAGCGACAGCGGTGTTGTGTCGCATCTTTTGGAATCAACAAGAAAAGAACCGTATGAGAGCGGAATGGGAGTGTGATTCTTTTTGCCCGAACTGTGGCAACCAAAGGGTGGCAAAAACAAACTCATGAGCGGAGATTTGTTTCAGGGATGAAGAAAGAATAAACAATTAAAACAGGGACAACACAACCACATCTTTCAACTAGCAACAGACGAGTAAACTTTCAACAGCGAGCAGCCGACTATACCCAGTAGGAGTGGGGGAGAGAAGGGGAGAGAAGGGGAGAGAAGGAAAGATAAAACACGCGAAGTGCAAGTCAGGGTGGTAGGGTTATCTCAGATTTTAAAAATTCAACCTCAGTTTTCGTCAGCAGGAGTGAAGGGTTTGACACGTTATTTTTTGCTGTGGTCATGGCGAATGATTCTATGATTTCCCTGCCGAATCTGCTGTCATGCCCCCCCAAGGATTTTTGTGTCATCAAAGAGGGGATGACAACGCAAACACGAACGGGCATGTATGACTATGGGATGATAAGAATCTGGGGAGGCCTTAGAAACTTCGTTGTGATGTTCGCGGAGTCTGTGATTGGTGCATCTGCCGGTCTGTCCTATGTATTGATGGCCACAGCTCAAGGGGATGGAGTAAACTTTCTTCTCTTTGCATGGAATGAATTTCTTTTCGTGTTTGACAGTGCAGCCAATCGGAATCCGGTTGTTGTTCACTTGTTGACAGAGTTGTTTAAGACGCATGCGGCACGAGAAGACAACATTCGTGTCGAACTTGGAGGCAATGGATTTTATCCGGTGGGCTGAATTGTGTACGTAAGGAATGACGGCGAATCGGGCTTTCTTTTTTGTGGCTGGTGACTGGCGATCAGGCCCGCGAATCATCCTTTCCATTACAGATTGGAGAAGGTCGACGGGAAACCCTGCCCCGACGAGCCTCATGTGCTGCAATTCGAAGCTGTCTTCTGAAAGATGACAGCAAGACTTCGTAAAGGATGAAGAAAACAACGATTTGATGATACCGTGTTTTACTGACTTCGAATGGGCGCTAGAAAAAGGTAGGACAGGTTTGGCAGACCTTTGTTGAAAGGCCCAGCAGAGTCCAGTGGCACTGACATGAAGCCGCAAATCTAGGTACTGAAGCCCTTTATTCGATGGTTTTTCCTTCGTGAATGCAAGGCCTGACGAACAACCGGAAAAAACAGCTGTAATGCTATCTGTAGAAGTCCGAGCAGGATGAATGATTAGGTAATCGTCTACATATCTGAAAACATGGCAGCCAGGCGCGGAGATGTCCAGTTGTGCTTTTATAGCTCTGTCAACGAATAAAAGGAATAATTCGCTGAGAACAGGGGCAAGACATGAACCGATGCGAACTCCCTTTTTTTTTTGCGGTAGATCGCTCTCTCATGTTCAACTAAGGTGGACTGGAGGTATAGATGAATCAGGTCCACGAATCCAGCAACGGAGACACCGGAGGAATTCTGAAAATCCACAGCTCCGTGCTCAAAGATGGTGTCGGAGATTGAGGCAAGCAAAGCGGTAGGATCTAGATTGAAATACTGTACATGTCTTCTATGTCGAGTGAAAAAATAGAGTGGGGCAAGGAGAAGAAATGTTGGGAACTGATGACAGAAATGAGTTCTATTGAATTGGACACTCTAAAGGGTTGAGGGAGGTGGATGCAGGACAGATGCTTCGTAAATGTCCTGTATCCACCTCCCTCAACCCTTTAGAGTGTCTAACTCAATAGAACTCATCTCTGTCATCAGTTCCCAACATTTCTTCTCCTTGTAGAAGGGTGTGTACTTGGGCTAGTTGGTTATTCATGAATAGGAGGTAAAAGCGCTAAAAAACGACGGACAAGTTGAAGAATGACGAACACCACAGAGCGCTAACTTGCAACTGAAGTTTATTACTGAAAAACACGTACACATATATACACCGTGACATCAAAAAGACAAGTGGCAATAATGCCGCTTCATCTATCTAAGGTTAATCTATGAATTGTTTACTCTTTCGAATGATTTCAAATATGCCACCTCAGAGCTATACAGGTTTACTGAGGGAGCGCTGACACACTTGCCCTGATCGTACTTCAAAATAAAAAACGCCTCCGATATCTCTCTCGTTTTTTTGTCTCTATTCCGAGTTAAGATTTTTGTCTCTATTCCGAGTTAACCTTAGACAGGCTTGACAACACCGTTATCTTAACTCGGAATAGAGACAAAAAAACGAGAGAGATATCGGAGGCGTTTTTTATTTTGAAGTACGATCAGGGCAAGTGTGTCAGCGCTCCCTCAGTAAACCTGTATAGCTCTGAGGTGGCATATTTGAAATCATTCGAAAGAGTAAACAATTCATAGATTAACCTTAGATAGATGAAGCGGCATTATTGCCACTTGTCTTTTTGATGTCACGGTGTATATATGTGTACGTGTTTTTCAGTAATAAACTTCAGTTGCAAGTTAGCGCTCTGTGGTGTTCGTCATTCTTCAACTTGTCCGTCGTTTTTTAGCGCTTTTACCTCCTATTCTTCTCCTTGCCCCACTCTATTTTTTCACTTGACATAGAAGACATGTATTTCAATCTAGATCCTACCGCTTTGCTTGCCTCAATCTCCGACGCCATCTTTGAGCACGGAGCTGTGGATTTTCAGAATTCCTCCGGTGTCTCCGTTGCTGGATTCGTGGACCTGATTCATCTATATCTCCAGTCCACCTTAGTCGAACATGAGAAAGGGATCTACCGCCAAAAAAAGGGAGTTTGCATCGGTTCATGTCTCGCCCCTGTTCTCAGTGAATTATTCCTTTTATTCGTTGACAGAGCTATAAAAGCACAACTGGACATCTCCGCGCCTGGCTGCCATGTTTTCAGATTTGTAGACGATTACCTAATCATTCATCCTGCTCGAACTTCTCCAGATAGCATTACAGCTGTTTTTTCCGCTTGTTCGTCAGGCCTTACATTTACGAAGGAAGAACCATTGAATGAAGGTCTTCAGTACTTAGACTTGCGGCTTCATGTCAGTGCCACTGGACTCTGCTGGGCCTTTCAACAAAGGTCTTCCAAACCTGTCCTACCGTTTTCTAGCGCCCATTCGAAGTCGGTAAAACACGGTATCATCAAATCGTTGTTTTCCTCATCCTTCACGAAGTCTTGTTGTCATCTTTCAGAAGATAGCTTCAAATTGCAGCACATGAGGCTTGTCAGGGCAGGGTTTCCCGTCGACCTTCTCCGATCTGTAATGGAAAGGATGATTCGCGGGCCTGATCGCCAGTCACCAGCCACAAAAAAGAAAGCCCGATTCGCCGTCATTCCTTACGTACACAATTCAGCCCACCGGATAAAATCCATTGCCTCCAAGTTCGACACGAATGTTGTCTTCTCGTGCCGCATGCGTCTTAAACAACTCTGTCAACAAGTGAACAACAACCGGATTCCGATTGGCTGCACTGTCAAACACGAAAAGAAATTCATTCCATGCAAAGAGAAGAAGTTTACTCCATCCCCTTGAGCTGTGGCCATCAATACATAGGACAGACCGGCAGATGCACCAATCACAGACTCCGCGAACATCACAACGAAGTTTCTAAGGCCTCTCCAGATTCTTATCATCCCATAGTCATACATGCCCGTTCGTGTTTGCGTTGTCATCCCCTCTTTGATGACACAAAAATCCTTGGGGGGCATGACAGCAGATTCGGCAGGGAAATCATAGAATCATTCGCCATGACCACAGCAAAAAATAACGTGTCAAACCCTTCACTCCTGCTGACGAAAACAGGTTGAATTTTTAAAATCTGAGATAACCCTACCACCCTGACTTGCACTTCGCGTGTTTTATCTTTCCTTCTCTCCCCTTCTCTCCCCCACTCCTACTGGCTATAGTCGGCTGCTCGCTGTTGAAAGTTTACTCGTCTGTTGCTAGTTGAAAGATGTGGTTGTGTTGTCCCTGTTTTAATTGTTTATTCTTTCTTCATCCCTGACTTAAACCAACACGCTCTTCTACCAAGATTTGTTTCGGTGTTATTTTAGAGCGCAGCTCTTAGGGGCCCGTTCCCGGCTTGAGCGGCGTCGCCGTCGGCGTCGGCGTCGCCGTCGGCGTAACCAAGGTCATCCCAAGGTCACGTGACCCCCCAAGGTCACGTGACACCTCCCAAGGTCATCTCAAGGTCACGTGACCCCCTGAAGGTCACGTGACCCCTCGAGGTCACGTGTCCCCTTCCAAGGTCATCTCAAGGTCACGTGACCCCAACATGACCCCACGTGACCCTTTGAAGGTCACGTGACCCCCAAGTCACGTGACCCCTCTGAGGTCACGTGACCCCCGAGGTCACGTGGTCGCCTCCCCAAGGTCACGTGACCCCCGAGGTCACGTGACCCCCAAGGTCACGTGACCCCTTCCAAGGTCATCTCAAGGTCACGTGACCCCACATGACCCCCAGGTCACGTGACCCCTCTGAGGTCACGTGACCCCCGAGGTCACGTGACCCCTCCAGGTCACGTGACCCCCAAGGTCACGTGGGGGTCACCTTTGGGGTCACGTGGCCTTGAGGTCACCCCCAGGTCACGCCTCCCCGAGGTCACGTGACCCCCTCCCCGAAGTCACGTGACACCCCCCCCGGAGCATATTAAAGAATGAGGGGAGGAGGAGGAGAAGGGGGAGGGGTCTACCCTCCCCTGAGTACCCTTCACTCCTCCTCCTCAAGAGCTGCGCTCCAATTCGGCGTTACAGGGATTTGTAAACGGCTTCCACTTTTTTTCCGCTGCTCCTGAGATAAGCTCACATTCGAGTTTCTTGAACATGTTTTTCTGTTGCTATTGAAATTTCACCACAACTAGGCCTAAGGTATGAACCACATATGAGCAATTCTTCCAGACAAAGCGACCGAACTGGACCCCCTGTCACTCGTTTCATCGAGACCACGTGCAAGCGACGCACGTCACGATGAGCTGCAGCGACGGGCGACTGCCGAAGTTTTGTGCAAATCTTGCTGCTCATGTCCGACGAAAGCAAATGGGGCCCACATTTACCCGAGATGAGGTGCCTTGAGCACACTCGGTACTTGTAGACGTTTTCGTCGAGGTATTTCCGGTTGATGCGTGCAAGCCATTTGTGGTGCCTTCTTACAGAGAGCGACCATACTTTCTCGCACTCGAGTGTTCGAACTCTCGAAGTCTTGAAGAAATGGGAGTCCAGAAGCTTGCTCTCTTCTTTTTTCTTCTTGGACTGCAACTTGCTTCAGCAGTAGATCATCACGCACAACACCATACTGGCACTGAAAATTCTGGTGTCAACGAAACCAAAGAAAAGTGAGTTTTCATAGGTTATTTATGCTGTCCCGCAACGTTCTCTGCAACCCGCTATGAGATCTGGGACTCTGCAGGCAAGGCTAGCGCCACTCAGGTGCAGTTCTGGCGTCCTTGTTTCGGAGAGCGGAGGTGGGAAAATGGTTTACGAAAACTCTCTAAAGATTTGTGGTGTAGTGCGGCTGATCCTGGAGTGGCCACGCGGCTGTCTGCTGTCGGGGACCCAAAGATGGTGATATACTCAGAATGCACCGCACACAACCTGCACGTAAGCCACAAGTGAATAGTCCCTATACTTATAAAGCTATAAAATGTGTATCAAAACATTTGCACTTTCAAAATACACTTGAGCTGCCGACAAAGTCACGCTAGGAGAGGGCCATGGCATCTTTCCTAGTGTAGTGTTACATAATAGCGTGACCAAATAGACTGCTTCCATAAAACCATGCACGCAACACTGCATGTTTTGGTTTAAATTCCTGTATTCACGAAGTCGGACATATATAAAGCGTGGGCCACGTGAAGCCTGGTTCAGAGTTGTGTTCAAAGCGACTGGAATGACAGAACAGAGACTCACTGAGACAATTGTTTGCCACAGTTTCAGTGTGACAATCAGTACAATTAATAATAATAATAATAGTTTATTTTCCATGAAGCATGGTGGAGCAAAGGGTAAAAGCCTCAAAGGAGGCTTGACCAGCCCTCGGCCCCGTACATTAACATTGCAGCAAACAAAAAAAAAAAAATATATATATATATATATATATATATATGCACCAGATTACAAAACAGTTATTAAACACCTAAACAGATGGCATGCACAGTCGTTGCAGACAGAAATCCGAAAAACACAAAAAGAATGCATTTTATATAGCATAAACAAATTTAAAGATTCATTTGAGTGGGGGAGGTAAATTACTGCTACAGATAAAGAGAATGCAAAGCCTTGAAGGAGGTAGTGTCAATGCAAATTTCTTTTTCTCGAAAGAAATTTAACAGTTTTGGTATGGTATATCGCGACGTTTGCCTACCGTAGTTAGTAGAACAGTAGACAACCTTCCAATACTCCATGTGTCTAGTTAAGCCACGTGTAGATTTGGTATCAATGCCGCTAGAGTTGAATTAATAACATTATCAAGCCATCACAGGTTCTGGTTGCCTTGTCTTTGTCATTAGAGTAACTTTTGTTACTTTGCATGCAAGTGACTTGAACAATGAACAATAAGCAGAAAAATTAACACCAGAATAGAGACATGCAGTGGAGGGAAATATGGCTGATTGTCGTAATCAACAATTGAGCCCACTACATAATTTCTGGTATGTAAGTTGTATGCAACGTGCTGCATATAACTGCTCAACCAGATATCAGCTTACCCTTTTTATTTCAGATGCCCACAATCGGCCTACAAGCCCCCTCAGCAAGCCGGAGGTTACGTCAGCGGCTTGCGCAAGCGCCAGTGCCGTAGACACGGGAGCAGCTCTTAGCGATGGGCACTTTCGAGCTCATGCCACCCAGCCGCCTGCAGCCGCTGCTAGGTACAGCGTTGATGGAGCTGAGGCCTCAAGCCACGCCGCCACTAGGCTACCCAAAGGCAGGACGGCAGTCCTAGAGAACACCTTAGCTAAAGAGAATGAGGTAAGAGAGACCTTACTGCGAGAGGAGCATGCACTCCGCCTCCGTCTCATGAAGGAAGATCATGACGACAAATTGCAGAAAAGGGCAACAAAACACAGCTTGGAAATGGAAGTAAAGCGAGCTAAAAAGGAACTCATACTTCTGAAGCTGGAGCAGCTGAAGCAAGCCAAAAAATAAAGAGGCTGCTCAAATTTAACCTGGAACTTTAAAAGGTGGTTTGATTTCTTTCATAGAACTTGCAAGAGGAAAGCTAGAGCTATATCACTTGACTCTCTCAGATGAAGGTAACATCAAATATACATGAAAGGACCACCACAGAATTTCACACCATCATTGCTTAAAGGGGCACTAAAGAGGATTCTGTGATCGTCTGTTCTTGGTCATAACTGATCCTATCGGCCCTAAAGCATCGTAAAAATCCAAAAATTACAATCATGCAACACTGATTTCTTTATTAAAAAGTGAAAGCCGTTTACAACTCCCTGTAACACCGAATTAGAGCGCAGCTCTTGAGGAGGAGGGAAGGGTACTGGGGGGGTCAGGTGACCTGGGGGGCGGTCACGTGACCATGCCGATGATGCCATCAGTGATGTCACTGATGACCTCATCAGTGACAATGACGATGCGGATTCCGATGACGTCATCAGCGATGATGACGATGACGATGCGGATGTCAGTGACGTCATCAGTGCATCCGTGATGATGACAATGACGATGCGGATGCCGGTGACGTCATCAGTGATGATGGCGATGACGATGCGGATGCCGGGGACGTCATTCGTGACGTCACTGATGACATCATCAGTGATGATGACGATGACGATGCGGATGCTGGTGACGTCAGCAGTGATGATGATGACGATGCGGATGCCGATGACGTCATCGGGGAGGTTACGTGACCTCGGGGGGGGGGAAGGGTCACGTGTGACCTCGGAAGGGGGGTCACGTGACCTTGGGATGACCTTGGGGTAACCTTGGTTACGCCGACGCCGCTCAAGCCGGGAACGGGCCCCTAAGAGCTGCGCTCTGAAACACGATGAAAGGTCGCGACACAGCCCTTTCTGAGCGGATCTTTCCGCTTGGGCAAGGCTGACACCAGCAGCGGTGTGAGTGCGGCGATGATGGGCGCTCGTCGGCCAATTGCAAACCCCCTCTTCAGGAGAGGCGGCTTGCAATTGGCCGGCGAGTGCCCATCGTCACCATGCTTACACAGCTGCTGGGGTACGCCCCGCCTTTCCCGAGCGGAAAAATACGCTCAGTAAGAGGTGCGTCCTGGCCTTCCATCACGTTTTTAACAAGGAAATTGGCATCATGTGATTGGAATTTATGGAATTTTAGGATGCTTAAGGCCCATGGAATCCGTTAGGACCAAGAACAGACGATCGCAAAATCCCCTTTAGTGCCTCTTAAAGTCTTGAGACAGAAACAACACTAAAGCCAGTACCAAGATGTCAATCAATCCTTGGATGATCTAAAGAGGATTGAATTCACTCAGAAAGGGATCCCATACATACCCATGCCTTCTGGAACACTCGAAGGTAAATATATTCCCAGCGTTACTTTAGGCCGGGGCTATGTCGCAGTGCACAGCGATTCGTCTAAGATTTTCCATACTGCCAAATGAGGAAGCGCCCGCCTCGGTTTTCTACGTGTTTATTTATATTGTTGCCTTCACCTGAATGGTCATTTCGAAGAATTGAGATTTATCTTATAGGACCACTGCATTCCTCGACGTCAGAAAACCACTGGGTCGTCGTGACAATTGATCATATGACCAGCCACGCGGAGAGATCCGCACTGCCAGCTGCCACTGCTCCGGAGGTATCAGATTTTTGACTCAGCATTATTATGCCATAGAGCTCCACAACAATTGGTGAGCCACTGTGGTGTCTTAATTTGATCAACACATGTACAAGAACTTCTGCAGGCCTGTAATATTGTTTACCGCACCATCACAGCTTCGGCCCAGTAAGCAAAGGGCCCAATTGAGCGGCTCAACCAAACGCACATCGACATGTTTTCAACATACATAAACTCAAACCATACAAACTTCGAGAAAGTTGTCCTATTTATAACATTACCCCACAACACCAGCGTTCTAACCATAACCAAAATTTCTCCATATTTTTTTTTTGTTTTGGAAGAGAAGTTTTGTGCACCCTAGATACAGTCTTACCGTACTGGTCCGATTTTTTTAGTCCAAACCATCCTCATTGTCACGTAGGTCCACGGTACAATGGGACACATGTGGGAATAACTCTAAATGTCAAATGTTCTACTCGTAGCGGGACTGGGTGAACAAAAGTCCAACACAGTCTCTCAATCGTACCGGCAGACGTCTCTGCCGCCTTGACCGATAATTGTCCGACGGAGATGCCTGGGAAGTTCACTAGAGTTGTATTTTATTCAGACAGGTCTTCTAAAGAAAAATAATAGTCCGATCTTCTTTATCAATATCAATGAGGAATGTGTCTTAATATTGTCGATATTAATCTTTTGCCTTAGGTCTAAGCCATTGATTGTCATTGTATCAGCACTTCTGATACAATTAATTTTGTCATGAGGTAGGCCATTTTTTTTGGTACTGAGTTGTCGTTATCGGCAAATCTTCATTTCTGAAATTTCGGTTATCATCATCGTCGAATCATGGACGATGGTGATCGAGCACTAATGAAACATGTCTAGGATTTTTTTGCGTAAATTGTGACTACTAAAGTCGTTCCTTTTAAATGTCTCTTTCAAGAATGGCAGTTGGTCAGAACGAGACAATGCCACATCCCTCTCATGTCTTAGAATTGTCTCTGACAATTTTAAGTAATGTTCCAGTCTGTTGTGTCTCCATACGAAATAGCAGGTATATGCCATACTTCATTCCCGAATAGTACTGGTGTACACGTCAGTCTGTGAGAGCAGGGTAAGCTCAATTCACCATATTCCTTAAACATTCAAAGTAAATGACATAGTCTTTAAGCACCTAAAAGTAAATGACAGTCTTTAAGCATCTAAAAGTGAATGACATCCGATGGTCCGTGCACATGTATGTTTTAGTTGTGAGTGTGACTACAAAGGTAGAATAGTGATTTTTCTTATGTCTTGCATATGTAAATGAGTACAAGTTGTCAGAGTGTATTTTGTTCTACATACACAGGATGCCCGATGTTGAATTTTATTGGTGCACTAGCGTCGGGCAGAGGAGACTACTGCCAACTGAGGGTTCAGTACAGTGGGAAGGTCAAAATAATTCCTAAACTGTTCGCCACCAGAGGACATATACAGGGTGGTACAGTATTGAGTTGCTGCAAGAACATTCGTGAAAGGAAGGTGTTATTTCTTATGTTTCTCAGGAAACTTGTCAAACTGAATTTTTCTAAGGGGAAAATTACGTTCTTTCTCACATTTTCAGGAACTGTCCAGTTGAACTCGCTGGTGAAAGTGAAAGTGTTATTCTTTACGTTTCTAAAGACTAGTCATTCATTTCACTCGCGGAGGTGAAAGTGTTATTCGTGTTTTAAAGGACTCGTCTTACAGCGCGATTTTTTAAAGTGTTCTTCGTTTCAAAGGACTCGTCAATGACATTTTTGGTTGCAGTGAAGAGAGCACTTTTCAGTCTAACTAAAAAGTGTTCGACATAGTACAAAGTGTAGCATTAATGATTGTACCTTTCCAATGTATTTCTTATCCTTATTTTCTCCGACCACTTCACAAATATTTTGCTTGTAGTGATTGGTCGGTAGGACTTTGTATGCGTGTGATTTTCCATATTGTAAAGAGTAAGCTGTTCTTTTCGGTCTAGCACCAAGTTATCCAACAGTCATTTTCTAAGGGGGGAAAAGACATAGTGTGCCATCAACCAGCTAGATGGCGCAAGAAGTCATAGTATGTGGCGCTGCAACTAGATGGCGCCACTTGTCCGAGAGTTGGCATCCGCCCCTGCGAGCAGAAGTGTTGATCCCCGTGGATCTGAATGTTTGTATGCTGGTCACGACAAAAAAGACAGTCTTCACGAAAGAGGAAAAGAAACCCACTGACTCCGGAGGATGCGGAAGCGTCAAAACCAATTCCACAACCAACACAGATGGTGGTACTCCGGTCCACTGGAAGAAAGGCGGTGAATGCCTTCACAGGGCAGGAAATCTTTGACGCTGTCAAGCAAACCGGCATTCAGAGTAATGAGCAGTACACCGTTCATCGTAATGAAAAGGCAAATGCAATAGCCATAACAACACGCGACCCCCTAACATTGGAGAAACTTCTCAAGGTGAAGGAAATACGAAAGGGCACAGAAGTACACCCACTGCAGCCCTATAAAGCTATGGCAGGGAACGAATGCCGGGGAGTACTCTACCTCCCAGGCGAGGGAAACGAGGTGACCGCCGAGTCTCTACAGGCAGACCTTGTGTGCACGAGTCACAAAGTCGTTGCAGCAAGACCGATGGGACCCAAGGGGAACACCATTTTCGTGACATTTGAAGACAGAGTTCTCCCCACGAAAGTCAGCTACATGTGCGAGGTCCTTAATGTACGCGAGTACCGTCCACGTCTACTGGTGTGTTTTCACTGCCACGCGATCGGACACAAGATGGATGTGTGCCCTAGGGACGCTGCTTGATGCGGAATGTGCGGCTCCGAGCACGACGGCATGGAAGGATATGAGCAAACCCCAAAGTGCAGGAACTGCGGCGGTGCCTACGTAACCACCAGCAAAGACTGCCCGCAGCGAGTGATCCCACTGCGGCGAAACAACCCAAAACCAACAGCAGGAAAGGAACAAAGACAGGAACAGCCTCCACCTCTGCCAACAGTTCCTGCGCCACCGGCACACCTAGGCGGCGGGACCTCATATGCAGCTAAGACCACGGGATCGATTCAACCCAAGACACCATCAGCACATCAACACAACAGGCCGGCATGATGTTTCTGACATATTTAAAATTAGTGTAAGCAACTCTCTATCCCGGTTTTCTGTTATATTTTGTTGTCCCAGCAGACGACACAAAAAAAATAGTGTTTCGTTGTTATAATTGTTTATGCCCGAATTTGCCAAGCACTTTGCCAACTTTGCGACCGCAATCGTAATAAACATCACTTGATACATTATTTGAAATAACATGTTTTAATTATTTCTAAAAACAAGCTCCACCTTCATTATTTTTAAAACAAATAACTATCAGATGGAAATTTTGTGTATATTTTAAACTTGAAGTGTTCTGGCTTATTGTCCAGGGGGCCTAATCCACTGTCCGTTTGCTTCCTTGTCCACTCGTTCACCTGCTCGTTCGCTGCTCACTTTCGTTCATCACTGTTATTAATCTTCTCTTATACTTATCTCTTTGTTTATTTTTATTTTATCAGCTAATAGCGTGTTATTTTCCATGCTGTATGTATATATTCAATCTCGTGTATTTTCTGTATATATTTTGCATTCCGTAAGAACGTTGACATGAACGATGTTGACCGGCGCGGAGGCAAGCGCGAGCAAGAAGGGGCAGCCTCGTGTCCAGTGGGGCGTGCACGAAACCTGGGTGTTGTTGGCGATCTGGGAGGATCGCCTGGAGGACCCCCGGAGAGCAAAGTGGAACTTCGGGGTGTACGCCGACATGGCGATGAAACTGGCCGAGGCGGGCTTCAAGAAGACTGTCGACCAGATGCATCATAAGATTGAGAACCTGTCGAATACGTACCGGTAAGTTGAACGTAGCCTGCTGTAGCGACTGATAATAAACAGAGAGGAGCCTTGTTCTGCCGGACTGCCTCCCGTGCGCGCTCGGTACCTTCGATAGCGTTTTGGCTTCTCGTGAGTATGGGGTCCTCGGGCATGCACGCCCAGCCAAGGCGCGGCGAAGGGCAGCGGGCGCGTGCTGAAGCCAGGGCATTCGAAAGGAGCGTCCTGCCGTTCTCAAGCTCTAGTAGTGCGAGGACGCACGCAATCCAAGTGGCAGGAGGGGCGACCAGCGAGATGCTCGCCTACCCACCACAACTGCACTGCGTACCTCGAAATAGTGGGAAGTCCCATATGTAGGCTGACTTTCCGACTGCGTTTCGTGAGGCCCGCTTCAGACGGGGCAACTTTCTCAGCAATTTTGGGGTTGCTAGCGGGTTTTTCCCTAGACCGACACAAATTGCTGGGATCGGGTCCGGTCGTTCGGCTCGAAACGAGCGAGCAACTTTTTGAATCGGCAGCAGCTAATCAGGGACGCGATAATTTCATGATGAGTCTGTATTCTCAAAGTCAGTTAAATGTATAAAAACATGTTTATAGTGTGTAACTGTGTGTCTAAATAAAGCAAGAAAAAAAATTAATGATGATAGCATGATCACGTCATCAATGATTGCAACTCCATCGAGCTCCAAGTGCACAGTGCTACGTGATGCGGCAGAAACAGGTTTCACATCATCAGCCTCATCTGTAAGTGGAATAGAACAACTAGCATAATATGTGCACATCCCCATTCCGAGATTGCTTTTATGCTTATTTCAGCTATATGGGTAATTTCACATATGTTGAGGATTTTCACCGGAAACCTGCCACTCGCTGCAATTTAATTTCCTAGAAAACACCAGAGGACCTGCACCTTGTTATGAACGGCCCCCGGACCAGACCATCTCTATCTAATCCAACCGGCACCGGTGAACCCCTTGAGTATCGTCGCCATATGTTTCCGGTCAGTTGTGCCCAGAAACGAAGCGAGAGGTGACAAAGGGATGCCGTGGCTTTCGACGGAGGACCATCGTGTTGATGTCGCCACACCTAAGCGCGAAGCTGAGCCGGACCCTTCTTTCTGGCTGCAAAAGCGCTGGCCGGAAAAGGGGTCAGCCGACGTAGGAACCGGGGGATTACCGTGCGAGGATTCTGGGTGACGGCGCGCCAGCTGCCGGACCTCCGTGAGGGTGTGTTCTGCAGGGATTATCTTCGGACGTCACTAGCGGATGTTCCGGCCAAACCCTTTCTCATGCCACAACGCCGCCTGATGGAGGGATCAGCACTATCTCGGCCAACGTCGTCTCCCGGGCTGACAGTAGACCCTTTGTGGTCGCCTCCTCGGCGCGGCATTCGAGGGCGAGAGTGTCTCAGCGCCGGAATGTGATGTCCGGCCGCCACTACCGTGTGTGTGCGTGTGCATGCTTGGGGGATGAGTGGGGGCGGGGCCTGAACAGGACGTTTGTTGGCAGTTTGGCCACCATTGGCTGCCAACCGGTGGGGCACCAACAGCGACCCTATAAAAGGAGTAAACAAGAGGGCGCATGGGTGCTCTCGGACGATGTAGTTACTTTGTATATATGTATTAAACAAAGTGCGTCGCGAGAGACCCTCCTGTCTCGTGATATTCTTGCCGGGAGTCGGCCTGCTGTTCCTGTTTTGGCCTGGCCCTGATGGAGGCTGCCTGGAGGACCCCCTCGGACCCAACAACCACCACTGGGTCTGGTGGTATCACCTGGCCCTTCTACTGCAGAGGTGGAACTCATGAAATGTACCTGGGAGCAGCCACGGGAGCAGCTGAAACAGCTGTTATGGAGCAGGTTGGGAGCAGCTAAAACTACGTTCTGGAGCAGGCTAGGAGCAGCTCAGATCAGTTTTCATTGCACTTCAGCTTGCGTCTTAGACAAGCACGGGAGCAATTTCAATCGTACTTAGCAGAACAGATGCACACGAATGGTTAGGGACCTAGGTAGATGGGATAACAGTGTAACAGATGCGAAAACTTGAAACTTTGTGAGCCTTAATGAGAATCAAAAAGCCAGTACCCTGTTTCTCAAGATAGCGTCCTTGATATTTTCCGAGCAGCTTTCAGCTGCTCAAAATGCAAATCAGCACTGCTTATCGCACAACCCACACGTGCTTGACATAGTAATTATATGTGCGAACCCCGTGACAAGCGCAAGCAATGGACGTACAGTTGCACGGAGGAACAGGGCAACAAATTTCGTGTTTATCCTATTGTGCAACTCGATTACGAAGCAGCAGACTACGATTAACGAAGTTATCGTATTTGAAGTGATAAGCAGGAGCAAGGTTAAAGTACGCCGAGCAGATCCATCACTCGCAAAAGAGCTGCTGGCCGGAAAGGTTTCGGATCGGACCGCGTTTCAGTTCAATCAAATCACGATTTATCTTGCAAGAATGCGGTTCCAACTTCTAACGATGAAGTACTAAAAGGAATATCTTGCTCATTTGTTTTCAACTGGCTGACGTCCGGATCCCGGGCCGCAGAGCCTCAGGCAATTTGACGCTTAACGACTCGACCTCACCTCACCCGACTTGCTTAACCGTTAATTATGGTTGAAGAATAACAATCCAGTCGCAGGTGGTGTGGCGCTTAGAATCCGAGTTTTTTCGCGCGCTTCCGACTCGGGATACACAGGGAGAATAAACAGAACAAAGGATTGCAAGGCCGACCAGGCTGAACGCGCTCATTGTTGCGAATCGAGTCAATAAAACCGAAACCAAGACAAAATAAAAAGTTTCTTGGCGCACGTTTTGCGGTATGGCGCATATTGGCGCGAGGTATTGGCTGTGGCGCAGTTTCTGCAACATGGCGCAGGATGGCGCAGACATATGCGTCTGGCGCAAAATGGCGCAAATGGCGCAGCCGTTCCACCCCTGTACTGGAAAATACATCGGATCCTGGGGTCGCTGCCTGTAAATGACAGCAGCCTGGTGGAGGAGAGAGACTGCTTGGAGAGATCCACACCTGCAGTTTCGAAGGTATCCATCTTTCAGTTTTTAATCGTGGCTCTTTCCTATGTACATGCTTTGTATGTGTTACGTCCTTATAGGAAGTGCAGCCAGTGTGCATTTCTTGGTAAGCCATACCATTGTGGCAGCCCTAGATGGACATAGTTGGCGGGCGCTCCGTATACACCAACTCTTTTACGTCACGCAGCAGCAGAGGTGCTTCGTGTGCACTTCTTGTCTGGTGTGTGGGCAAAACATGCCAGTCGAGCCGGGCATTATTAATACACTGCTTTAGAGCGCAGGTCTTGGGCGCCTGTTTCCGGGATGAGCAGTGTCGCTGTCGCCGTTGGCATAACCGCGCGTTACATTATGGGACATTTCCCATAATAATGCCACACATGACGTCACATGTGACATCATGAGGGTAACATTTTCTTGCTACATTTGGCGGTAAATATTCCCGCTAGATTAAGCGGAAAAATCTCCCACCACATTTACTGGGAAAATTTTACCCTTGTGACGTCGCACCTGACTCCGCCCTACCCGGGAAAATTTCCTGCCAAACTTAGCAGGAAAGTTTAACACCGCATACAACACACTCCTCTATGCTAGATTAAAGTACATTACAAAATCATGGCACCAGTCTGGAGTGCCCCAAATTCTCTCTGGGTACTGTCGCTCAGGCCGGTGTTGCTTGTGATTCCCGGCCAGGAGCTCTGACTCCCACATCTCGTTCTGTTTCTGGCTCACTTCCCAGCTCTGGCACTTGGTCCACAATTTCTGTTTCACGTGCCTGCACCGGCACTCAATCGGACACTCCAAAGCACGAAAACACCAAATTGATGTCTTCTATGCCAGGAACGGTAGACTCGCGTGGCCTCAGGTGGTCTAGGTGCTGTCGCCAATTGAATGTACCACCAGAGTTTTCATTCACAATTGGAAGGACAGAGGTCCTGCACGAGACAGGATGACTCTTTTCAGCCAACGGTCTCCTGGGTGGAAGTTCTTGACATACACATGCTCACCAACAGCAAACTGACATGCTCTATGACCTCTGGTGACAGCTGCCTGTACTGTGCCCTCTGGACATTTAACTCAGCAGAGGGCTTCAAGAAATCCAGGCGTGTAGTCAGGCGAAGTCCAAGCAGCAGTTCCGCTGTACTCTGAAGCGAGGTGGCATGTTTTTGTATGCAAGCAGAAAACTAGCCAACAAAGGATATATTACTCATGTATTTAGAAAGAAAGTGCTTCAATAATTAGGTCGCTGTGGTACCTGATATCATTGGTCTTCCATTCATGCTAAATGCTCCTTGATTGAACTTCGCCAGAGGTTATTCACACAGCTGCGTCCCAACAGAAGTGTCTCATGCACGTCAGCCGTCTCACGTGTGTTGCTGTTGATGCTGGTGTTGGTGTCAATTATTGACACAATAGTTTAAAATGGTGGCAAAGCTGTGAAGCCTTTCTGAAAGCCTTCACAGACTGGGGGAATGTAAAGATTGTGACTGGGTACTTTGTGTATATACCAGTGCGCTGCTAGCAAAGAAATTAAGTTTTAGTCAGTGAGACTCTTAAGAACTCAGCAACGAATGCACCTCAAAGGGTTTGTATCGCTACCAGCTTATCGCTTTCACTGCTTTCCTGGTGTCATGGACGTCTTGACTTAACAAACTACTGTTTCCTGAATGGTGCATGCTTCTTTTGAGAGCGGCTCTACCGAGGGTTTACTCGAGGTATTTTACTGCTTTTCAACTATTACACTTTATGTCGCATGGTTGTGCTGGCATCTGCTTTTGTGCGCATTAGTTCCTCTGCAACAGCGTGAGAATTCAACTGTCCTCTCGTCGGAGGGCAGAACCGCTGGCACAAAGAACTGCTCAGACAGAAAACCAAAACCTAGAAACTCATCAAAATCTAGCTTTTTGTTCGGGACACCGTAAAGCCCTGTATGTGCTTTATACATTTCTAAAATGAATTAAGTGATTTCCGATGATGCTGATAAAGTTTCTTGGTAAAGGCATACTATTAAATTTACAAATTCAAAAGCCATTACTCTAATGTAAATAGTGAACCTATTACACCAAAATAGTTTTTTCTGGAAGTGGCCTTTTGTGTGCGCTGCATGCTTTTCAGATACAATTTGACTCTCGTCTCGAGAAACACGTTGCATGGTGGCTGCGGGCAATACTTGGCCACTTGCAAGTTCATGTTCTTTTATATGCAAAGCTCATCTTGTAACATTCTTCACAGCTCCTTTCAGAGACACAAGGCAACCTCCCCGAGGAAGACGTCCACTGGGAGTGTGCTGCAGATGTCGAGGATGAAAGCACAGATGCCAGCGCCAGTGCTGGCTTCGACTCTACCATGGCTTTAAGAAGAAGTAGTGGGAGCAGCAGTGAGGCGACGGACGAGACCCAGCCGAGAGGGCCAAAGAGGAAGAGGCAGAGCCCCAGCACTGTTGCGTTCCAAGTTATAAAAGACCGCCAAGCACAACTGCTGGCAAGCTATGAAGCGGCACGCAACAGAGAGTTCGAGCTCAGGGAGCAGGAGCTGGCTGTCCAGCGAGAGGCACTAAAGATCCAGCAGGATGCTGTGAAGGCACAAAGAGAAATGGCAAAGTCGCAACAAGACTTTGCAGGTGCCATGATGGCGTTTCTTAATAAAGCCTCCAAGTAAACGGTCATTTAATAAAGCCTCCAAGTAAACGGTCATTCTGTGCAGGCTCATTATAGTCATCTCAAGTGAAGGAAATACTAGCTAGGTGGTCCAAGCAATTTTCTTCTGTTTGAATGAAACCCACCACCGCCTGTACTTCATTAGGTATAAGCTTGCATGACAGCATGTCACCCGCGACATTTTTGCACTGTTGTTGCCTGCACCAAAACCACTGTGCTTCCAGTACTGTGAAAGAATCAGGTCAGGCTGTTGTTTGTTGCATGCCAGCTAAGGACATCTCTGGATTTTGTTGCACTACCGGGGCAATTCCTAAATTGCTGCAGTGTAGTGCAGCCTTTATTGTGCAACTTCAGTGCTGGAGGCCCATATCGGTATTTACTGTAGCAATAGACCTCTATATAATAATTATATTCTGAGAGGTGAAGGAAACTGCCGACTATGAAATAATCTCTACCTCGGCATTTAATGCTAGGCATGATGCTCCATTTCACCCTTATGACAGGGCTGCAGCAGACACGAGCCATCGGATTCAATTCAATGCCATGCAAGTGTCTTGAGGGAGCATAGGAGCTTGGTCAGCACTCAATCGGTTGGGATCACTCGTAGCAACAAAGTCTAGTGCCATTTGTGCAGATATTGTTAAAGAAAAATTTCACGGATGACTTTCTTTCAAGGTAACTATTAGTATCAAAATATGAAGTATTTCAGAGCTGTGGTAACAGTTAAGAGTGCAGATTTCTGCCTCTGAAGCTTTTTGCCTTTTGCGACACTTGGTTAGGTGGAAGGCAATAAACACGCTAGAGATAGAGCATCTAATGGGTCCTTAACCTGCCACCAAATATAAGAAAAAATATCCAATGATTTAGGTAATTTCTTATCTAAATCATTGGATATTATCCAATGATTCAATAATATCCATTGGATATCATAATCATTGTGTACATATTTCATATATTATTGATATGTATTTGTGACTAAAAATCTGCCAAGTATTACAAAGCTTTCTATATTTTTCGTAAAGAAGTTGAGATATAAACTGGAATAATTCAATATATATAAAAAATAGTTTATTGCGGAATTAACAATCGTTACCGCAAAAGCATACTCTGTGTGACTGATTTGACTTAGCGAATGCAATCCCAATGAACATCACCTAAATGTCATTTTAGTTGTCGTCTGGCAGGTCCCATCTCGAATGTCATTTGGCGTAAATGCCATTTTAGTTGCCATCTGAGAGGGGTATTAGGCGCAATGGGGGTAGGGCATTCAACATTCACTGGGCCGATGACCAGGTGCCAACCTCCCCCCCTAACTTTGCACCTCCTTTCCCCCCTGAGCAGAAAACCAAAAATTAACCCACTTGACTTGAATAAGGACTGGGCTCCATAGCGAATATGCGGCCAAGAATCAACAAGCTTCGCCTGGCATCAACAATCACTCTTTTGGCATTGCGTGCAGGTTCAACACCACTGAACAAATTTAGAAGGCATAAATATATAGTGCAACTCTTATAAATTTGAAGAACTGAAGAAAAAAACTGGTCAACATTGTAAAATAGATATCTGCTCTTTGCAAAAACAAAACAGTTGAAAGGCAAAAGAAAAATGCTTTAAAGAGAATTAAACGAAACTTCTTAACTGTGAGCAGTACTACCACAGGAATCTCAGACTTCGTATTAAAAGAATCCTGCGCTGATAATTCAAACAGTGATGCCGTGATCAGTACGCCGTGATCAGTGAGGCCGGTGAACTATTTGATGGAACACCACTACCCCAGATATCTAAGTCTGTCACCATGTATCAACTAAAACATTTGGGGGGAAAATGTAGTTCGTGCGAAGTAAGAAACATGCAAAATGGTGAAAAAAAAATGTCTTGTCTGCACCTTGGCATTTTACAAGTAGGCAACAATGCATGCAGAACACTGCCCTCAAAACAAGAAGCAAACAACAAGGGCCTGTGCCGCCACAACGACAAACCGCAATGGGGATTGCCTTGGCACTTGCTGCTCCCTTTCACAACCTATACATATTTGCACAAGACATACCTGAGCTAATTACCCAAAGATACATGACACATATCAAATTTAATAAACTCTAGTTTTCTTGCTTGCACCGTTTAGGGGTTAATCTCTGAAAGTACTAGCTTCATAGGTTGATATTGGCTGAGTATAGCAGTGATTTTGTTCCTTCTGTCATCTATCAGCTATTGACAAAATTTTAAGGTATCAAAAGTTGGGTGTCGTCTACAAAATTCCAGTTAGGTGTGGGGCATGCTATATGGGGCAGGCTTGCTGTCCTAGTGACAAGAAATACAAAAAAGCAGTTAGAAACAGCATGAAGCTTTTAAAGTTGAAATAACATACCATATTTTCCAATATACAAGACACTTTTTTCAAAAATTTTCGGCGGTGCGTTTTATACACAGGTATGTCTTATGTACTAATTTTTACTTAGAAACTTCCGAAAAGTGGGGGGGTGCATTTTATACAAAATTGTGTCTTATACAACAAAAAATATGGTACCTCAAATTAACGATTCTGATGCTGATGACAAGGATACTACAATATTGCACTGAGAAGTGTAACAACCACTTAAAGAGGGAGCCATTGATGATTGTTGTGAATGATGATTGTTTCAGCAATATGTCTCTTTCACTTAGTGATCTATTTAAAGGGCAACTCCACTTCATTTATGGTTTTCAAAAAACAATGCAGTCTTCTTCAGTATCACCTAAGACCACATGTCAAATATTACCACGCAGTTCTGTCTAAATGTCTCTTAAATGGCCCGGCAAACTTCGCACCTCGCCAAGTTGCCGAAATCAGCTGACTCGAGCGGGCAAAACCAACAGCGCAGTCAGGGCTACGGCATGGGCGCAGCCAACATTGAGCTAAACGTCATCACCATTGCCCTCTTTTGCTTGTTTTTACTTCTCCGTGCAAGCTTAGTTGATGACGTCAGCAAAGTTTCCTTTCGGCGCTCAGCGGTGTCTACATGATTGGTGCTACGTGCCTGCGCAGCGCACTTCTTGGGAGCCGTACGGCCGCCCCGCCCTGTTCTCGCCGTTACCGCCGTCCTCGTCTCACCGTTTGTGATTATTGTCTCTTGGAGTTTCGTCCACACTTCAGACACCACGTGCGCAGACTTATACCGCAGTTGTGCTGATGTCGTCAAATGTTGTAGACTTCAAAACGTGGCGAAGCATGCGGTGCAGACGACACTTGCGCTTGGCACACGCCTGCCCCAATCCCGCCTGTAGCTGAGTAGAGGATCACGTGACATCTCGTACCACGTGATCGCCATGTTCTTGGCAGCCTGCAGTCAATGTTGCCAGACGGAGCCGAAGTTTCGGTTTCGATTTCCGCTTGTGTTTAAAATTAGATTTAAAAATATATATCTCGATTTTCCCGAAGCAAACGACGTAGTGTCTTTTACTAGGGCTTTTCATTGCGAAATCACTCATTATCCCTAAATCTTCGGAAATGAGCAGAGTTGCCCTTTAAGCATTGCTGAATACACAAAACAAAATTCTTTATTAAGTTTACCTTTGTTATTTCAGTGTGTGGTATTTCTGCTACGTATGTTTAAATGCAAAAATGTTCCAAAAGCCGGGATTCATGATTAAAAACAAATACCTCCGACTTGTATAACAATACCAACAATTTATCAGACGTTTCGTCTCCTATGCGGGAGACATCATCAGTGCGGCCTGGAAACACCCGACTAGCTACCAGCAATCCAACGCTTATGGTTGAAGAATAACAATCCAGTCACAGGTGATGTATCGCTTGGAATCCGACCCCCAAGTTTTTTCACGCGCTTCCGACTCGGAATACACAGGGAAAATAAGCAGAACAAGGGACTGAAACATAGAGGTTTTATATATGGATTGCAATGCCGACCAAGCTAAACGTGCTCATTGTTGCCAATAGAGTCGATAAAAACCGAAACCAAGACAAAATAATTTTTTTTTCGCGCATGTTGTGCGATTTGGAGCATAATGGTGCGAGGTATTGGCTGTAGCGCAGTTTATGCAAAATGGCGCAGGATGGGGCGGACAAATGCGCCTGGCACAAAATGGCACAACTGGCGCAGCCGTTCCACCCCTGGGCATGTAAGGTCTCTGTTTTTGCCGCATAACGACGGCGGCCTAACACATGTTCATCTCAGCCTTTTGCCTGGGTGGGCTGTGAAACGCGAAGAGAAGACAAACAATGGAGAAAAGCGTACCGGTTGTTTGAAAGTGACAGCAGTAATATAGACCCCAGAGATAGCGTGCACTTTCACTTGCCTTCCTCGTGAACCATCCAGTGGACGCTTCGTGAGCATCGTCCGCGAGTATGGCATACGCTAGCGCTTCCCGCATTTCGATAGCTGAATCGTACAGCTTAAAGCGAGTGTTCTGCGCTGACTATCTCAACAGGCACAAGAAAAAAATTGAATATCAAAGAAACTTTCGCAGTGTAAAGGATTTGGACATCGCCTTGTTGAAGCGTACGCCAGGTGCAGCTCACTTCATCCGAGATGCCGACGTTTTGTGTCAGAATTGCTTCAGTAGCTTCAAGAAACTCCCCAAAGAATCTCCAGAGACATTTCAGCCTGATGAAATTTTTGTTCCACAGAAAGCAGCCGTCCAGGATCTCCACAGATTCATTCAGTGAACAGAAATATTACCTCTGAAAGCACGGACTGAGTTGAGATCACATTGTCGGAAGCCTTACACAAGGTGACAGAGGGAGATTGAGAGCGTTCTCGTTAAGAAAATTTCATCAAGCCTCACTGCAGCACACAGAGTCATCTATGAGCCTGGAGCCTCAATACAAAGCTGGAACATCTGTCCAGAGTTGTTCAGCAACCCGAGATATCCGTTCAATTCTTCCGATTCATACCAAGAACAATACCGTCTCCTGCGTGATCTTGACCCTGACGAATCTCTCCCAGCAACAGATCCAAAAGATGATTCCTTCAGCAATTTGCCACCTGATCCAAAAGCAAAGAAGAACCAAGAAACATTCAGAGTGTGGTCAATTCCTGACCCCTACACAAGAATGAGGCTGAGCCCAGGGGACATTCAGGCGGCAGTTAATTACTACACGAAAGATGAACTCAAATACTTCCAACAAAGCCCAAACAAGAAGGACGTTATTAGCACCATTTCAAAGGGACAAAAAGATTATCTGTCAAATGTTTTATGACTACCATAAAGTTCGAGAGAACGTCCCCATCCGAAACCTTGCCCACCCACCTGTTTGGGCGAAATATATATCTTAATAAAATTCCCAAACATCACCACCCCCTAAAATTCGCAATAGCTTTGACGTGTTCGAAAGCTCGGGAAACCCCCGCCGCGAACATACCTCTGGAAAAACCTTGGATGACATCCGCGAACACCGCCGGTGACCCGATTTCTAGCAAAAGAGAAGATCTCGTCTGGTTAGATTAGAACTAGAAGTGAATCATTTAAGACGTCCGGATGCAAAGGAAAAGAAGAAACAGCTCAAGCAAACAAACTCCACAGGGCGTTTTCAGATAAGATCGAACAACGATGTCTGGTGACCATTTTTAATTTTAATGAAAAAAATATATTTTGCTGGCTTTATGCCAAGGACAACAAAACCGATCCTTGTTTTGGCAAAAAAAAAATTTGTCTTCCCAAAAAAAAAATTGTTAGCACCCCCTCAGCCACGTGCGCGTTTTGCGTATAGCGCGATGTTGGCATTTCGGGCGGCTTCCCCAAAAAACTGTTCTGGCTACGGGTCTAGAAATATTTACTGACCAACTAGGCATAAGAAGGATTGACACCAAGTATTAATAATCGAGTATTGGGGTTGTTATTTTTACAAACAAAATTGCAAACACGGCACATTGCGCAATAATGCTCTGGATTAAAGATTTTTTTTCACCGTATCTATATAGGCTAAGGTTATAAAACTTTGCCAGTGTGTTGCCCTGTGTATAGTTAATCTTTTCATGGAATATTGTTGTCCTGGTTAGCAGGATATATTTACAAGAATTGCTCACACAGGGGCATTTAACCAAAAATGCATTATTTTGAAAATCATTTAAAAAAAAAAGGCCATCTTCAATATTTTTTAAACTCTCCGAAATTAATGTCTATAATATGTACTAACAGAGTCTGCAAAAACATAATGCAATATTTGTGTGGCTTTCAAGCTATAAAGCGAGGAATATGGCCAAATTGACGCTAACGCGGTTGCCATAAATGGGGCGTGCGCATACCCGTTCTTCACAATTTCTTTATTGATAAAAAGCGTGAAAATGCTACGGGGTGGTCAGGAAGAGACAAATTGACAGCACAGAGGTGGACGGTAGTTTTAAAGTAAGAATTCCTAATACATTTTTGAACAACCGACCCAAAAATGCCCATGGGTCAGATCGATCGGGAGGCGCCATCCTTTGACAAGCTCCGCAGCGCCTGTTTCAACAGCCGGCGTATAGCGTCTCCATCTACGCGACGTGAAGGAAGCAACCGGAGCGACTATGCAAACAGATCAACCTTCAACCTTGGCGGTAACATAATATAGGATGTAGGGCCCGGCAGAACTTGCGCCTCCTCTGAGCGCCAATAGATCCGCCGCCGAAAAAAAGAAAAAAAGAAAAACGCACAATGCCAAAAAAAAATACTGCAAAAAAAAAAAAAAAAGATTTGCGATTGACTGAGATTGTCTGTTTATCGCGAGAGAATCTGCGGCCCAAGTCAATACGCAAGATGGCACGGGATTGCCAGCTAAAAAGGGCACCGCAATCCGACCGCCCCTGCGGGTGGCCTTTGGCCATGAAACCGAAGCCGCGAAGAAACAGCACACACCAAAAGAGCAGATAGCTGGGACCTTGAGAGCTGTGAGATAGAGTTGGGACCTTCTCTATATTCGCAAGGGGGCCCACTGCCTAAGCATCAAACGATTTCATCGTGAGCAGCTCCTGCGACGGCTCACGTGCGTGGTCTCTATTTCGATGGCTGAACGTTACAGTTCGAAGCGCGAGTGTTGCGCTGATTACCTCAAGGGGCACGAGAAAAAAATTGTTTACCAAAGGAACTTTCGAAGTGTGATGGACCTGGACATTGTTTCGTTGAAGAAGCGTCTCCGTGGAGGAAGTGTTCCTGTGCGAGAAACAGACTTTGTGTGCGTGAACTGTTTCAGCCGTTTCAAAGAAATGACGGCGGAATCGTCGGAATCAACGGGGCCAGAGGAAACCTTCGTCCCAGAACACGCAGCCGTCGAAGAGCTGAACAGGTATGCGCACTCTTCAGGAGTTTCACCCTTGAAACCACGTTCCGCCGTAAAAAGGCACTGTAGGAGGTCTTACGCCAAGCGAAAGCAGGAAGAAATTGAACGCGCTCTGAGCAAGAAGCTAAGATCAGACGTCACTACAGCGTATGGCGTGGGAGACAAGCCAACAACCTCAGCACAAAGCTGCAGCACCTGCTCAGAGTGGTTGAGCAACCTTCGGTCTGCGTTTGACGCTTCGGACTCGTACCATGAGCGCTGCCGACTTTTAACGCTACTCCCGGAGTCGCTCTCAACGAAAGAAATTCAAGGTGTTATTCCTTCAGCGACCCGCTATTTGCTCCGCAAATCAAGACATTACAAAGAAAAACTGGGAGTGTGGGCAATTCCTGACCCTTACACAAGAAGGAGAGTAAGCGAGGCGGAACTGCAGGCAGCGATGGACTATTACATCAAAGATGATCTAAATTGTACACAGCAGAGTCCGAACAGAAAGGACGTCGTTGGCGTCATGGTGGACGGAACGAGACAGTACATTGCGAGACGTGTGATGACGCGGTCAATTCGCGAGGCTTATCGAATGTATAAGACAGCCCACCCAGACACAGCCATCGGCCTTACAAACTTCTATCCTTTGAGGCCCAAATGGGTTGTGCACATCCCCTCGCATGACGTTTGTGTGTGCGTTTATTGCGCAAACACGAAGCTCGCTGTGTGCGCCCTGGAAAACATTACAGGCGTCATAAGGAGCGCCGAAGACCTCCGTGACCTTTCTCTGTGCAGTCCACCTTCTGCCAAGTGTTCACTCGGAGAGTGCAGGGCATGTCCCTCGGTCGGGTGTTTTGAGGCGCCTAACCTTGGAATTCCAGATGAGGAGGTGCTTTACGCAGTCTGGGAGAACGGCTATCTAATAAAGAAGGAAGTGAACCCAAATACGTTTCTGGAGCACCTTCAAAGAATGTGTCAGGAAGTGGACATCCCATGATTACATCAGGCGCCTCCAGGGGAAGGCGATAAGCGATGAAAAGAATTATCTGCGGAAAGCTAGCATTGTGCTTCACTTCGATTTCGCGGAGAACTGGACGGTTGTTCTGCCCGAGGAAATCCAGTCTTACCACTGGAGAAAGAGTCAAGTCTCCATATTCACCTGCGTGGTCACGACAAGAAAAGGAACCTGCAGCTGCGCCGTCATAAGTGACGACATGTGCCACGACTCCGCCCACGCATGCTACGCTGTTAGCAAGGTGCACGAGTGGCTTGAGGACAAAATTCCGGTGTATGCTCATGTGACCTACGTTAGTGATGGTGCAGCAAGCCACTTTAAGAACAAATACCAACTGCATGAGCTGCAGGGCAGCAAGTACACGTCAACAAAGTGGATTTTTTCCGCAACTGGACATGGTAAGAGTGCCTGTGACGGAATCGGGGGTCTTGTCAAACACCAGGCAACATTGTACAACCTCCGAGGGCCCACCACGTCCGTGATCAAGACTCCGTCAGAGATGTTTGCCGCACTGAACACTAAACTGCCGAACGTGGAACTAATCCACCTCCCGAAAGGTTGACGTCAAAGCGTTCAGGGACATGAAAGCAAGAGAGTGGGACTCTGTTTCTGCTGTGCGTGGAATTCGGTCCTGTCACTTGTGGCAGTGTACGCGGTCCGGCACCTCGCAACCAAAGCTGTTTGTAGCAAGAACAGTAGACGCAGAAAAGATATATCTTTGAAAGTAAAGTCTCTTACGGCTGCGAAAAGCAGATCGAGGTCGCCAGATTACAATGGCAATGAGAAGAAACGAACAGCAATCGCTACAGTCAAAAGAGAAAAAAAATGTTCCGCTTCGGAGTGCCAGGACTGAATCAGGTTAGCGGCCAGCAGATATAATGCACACGACAATCGCCGAAACTGCGCACATGATCTTGCTTAATTAAACTCATTTCAATTGTACCACTTGAAACATGTGTTCTTTCTTATCACTAGTCAAACATGGCCATCAGCAGCCCAGCATCTCTACGAAGGGGAGGCTCCGAAAGTCACTGATCCAAGATATCTGTATTTAAATTGTTGAGTTGTGGTTCAAATTCATCTGAAATCGTTTGTATGAATTATTATTTTTCACGAACTCCTGTCATAGTGCTTTCTGTTCACGCAGGAAGCACTATGACAGACGCCAATAGATCCGGAGCGGCGGATCTGTAAGCGCCAATAGATCCACGGCGGCGGATCTATTGGCGCTCACAGGAGGCGCAAGTTCTGCCGGGCCCTACATCCTATATTATGTTACCGCCAAGGTTGAAGGTTGATCTGTTTGCATAGTCGCTCTGGTTGCTTCCTTCACGTCGCGTAGATGGAGACGCTATACGCCGGCTGTTGAAACAGGCGCTGCGGAGCTTGTTAAAGGGTGGCGCCTCCCGATCGATCTGACCCATGGGCATTTTTGGGTCGGTTGTTCAAAAATGTATTAGAATTCTTACTTTAAAACTACCGTCCACCTCTGTGCTGTCAATTTGTCTCTTCCTGACCACCCCGTAGCATTTTCACGCTTTTTATCAATAAAGAAATTGTGAAGAACGGGTATGCGCACGCCCCATTTATGGCAACCGCGTTAGCGTCAATTTGGCCATATTCCTCGCTTTATAGCTTGAAAGCCACACAAATATTGCATTATGTTTTTGCAGACTCTGTTAGTACATATTATAGACATTAATTTCGGAGAGTTTAAAAAATATTGAAGATGGCCTTTTTTTTAAATGATTTTCAAAATAATGCATTTTTGGTTAAATGCCCCTGTGTGAGCAATTCTTGTAAATATATCCTGCTAACCAGGACAACAATATTCCATGAAAAGATTAACTATACACAGGGCAACACACTGGCAAAGTTTTATAACCTTAGCCTATATAAATACGGTGAAAAAAAATCTTTAATCCAGAGCATTATTGCGCAATGTGCCGTGTTTGCGATTTTGTTGGTAAAAATAACAACCCCAATACTCGATTATTAATACTTGGTGTCAATCCTTCTTATGCCTAGTTTGTCAGTAAATATTTTTAGACTCGTAGCCAGAACAGTTTTTTGGGGGAAGCCGCCCGAAATGCCAACATCGCGCTATACGCAAAACGCGCACGTGGCTGAGGGGGTGCTAACAATTTTTTTTCGGAAAGACAAATTTTTTTTTGCCAAAACAAGGATTGGTTTTGTTGTTCATGGCATAAAGCCAGCAAAATATATTTTTTTCATTAAAATTAAAAATGGTCACCGGACATCGTTGTTCGATCTTATCTGAAAACGCCCCACACCAGTAGACAGTCATTCCTCTGCATGCCCCACCGCTGTTCACCTGCCCTTGCTTCCAGCATTGACCATGAGGAACAGCTACACAATCCAGAGAAAGGTGGAAGTTGCCCAATGGCACAAGAAGAATGGAGATAACTTAAGCAAAACTGCAAGACATTTTGAGCTGGACAGGAAACAAGTTCGCGAATGGAGCAGTAACTACCAGTCTCTTCTACAGCAGTGCCACAACAAAAACAAATTCAAGAGAGCCATAAACAACGGGCGGCCGGTCTTCAGTGAAGAGCTCGATGAAGCGCTCATGGACTTCTTGGACACCGAGTGGGCAGCGGGGCGAGCGGTGAGCAATTGCGTCCTTCAAGAGCATGCACGCAAGTTGGCAGTTCAGATGAACCTTGGCAACTTCGAAGCTTCGAAACACTACCTGGCCCACTGGAAAGCCTGCTTCAATGTCTTGATACGAGTGGGGACGAACGAGAGTCAGAAGTTGCCGGCTGACTACGCTGAGGCCATCTCCATCTTCCAGTGGGCTGTGGGAAGCCAGTGCCTGGAGCACAGATACTCCAACTTTAGTATAGCCAACATGGACCAAACCATGGTACACGTGGACTGCCTAGCCAAGCGGACCAACAACGTTGATGGTGAATCAAGCATCCGCATCGTAAACACAGGCTGCGCCCGTCGTGGACTGACGGTTGCACTGTGTGCAACAGCTGCAGGCATAAAACTCCCGGCTCTCGTCGTGCTAAAGAAACCGACGGGCTGGATCTTTCCAAGGGCACTGTTCGCACTTCCAATCCCAGGTATTGTCTCAATTTCCAAGTACAATCTACGTTACTTCTGGTTTGATGGTCCAAACAAACTTCAGCCTAAGAAGACATTGTAAACATGCAATTAAACCTTTCACAAAAAAAAAGAAGGAAGTTTTAGAGCAGCGTTGCTTTGTTAATGATATAGAAAGCGTCTTCCACGTGTATTTGTGTCTAGTAGAGGGCGCTGCATTGGCTCGTCACTTTTGTTTTTTCATCAATACCATCGATACAATGCAGCAATGCGGCAATGCTTTCTTTCGTGTTTGCGGCTGCTTTGGCTGCTCCGGTGCCGGAGTTTGGAATGAAACCGAATCTCAGCTCCTTTCAGAAAACAAGTGAGTGACCTGCTCAAGAAACGGACAGATGACCACGCTGGTCTTCCTCGAATGGGTGCGGAGGGTGTGGGGTGCCAACAAAGACAACGTGAGGCGGCTGCTCGTCCTGGACCAGGCACCCATTCACAAGACAGGGGCAGCGAGGGAGGCCCTCGACGGGAAGGAAACCGACGTATTCATTCCTGGTGGGTGTACGTCTATCCTCCAGCCAGCAGACATGTGCTGGATGAAGCCTTTCAAGGATGTTCTCAGGAATTGTTCGTCTTCCTTCTTGCGGGAAGGGGCTGTCGCTGCCAAAGGAAACCTCAAGAAGCCGTCGCGCCAGGATGTCGTCAGCTTTGGGTCTGAGGCTTTAGCGTCTCTATCGGAGGAGGCCGTCCCCACCGCCTGGCCTCCATAAGCGACGAACCAGAGATGGGACCCAAAGCTCGGGAGAGCATGGTGGACGAAGTAGTGCAACTTGTCTTTGACAGCGACAGCGATGCGTCTTTCAATGAATTTAGCGATGACGAGTGATCAATAAATGTGGACGCACCACTGATCTGTCAAATGCCGCCACGTTTTTATAGTTTTTGGCACTTGACCCGACACTTCGCCCACCCCAAGTTTTTCACCATTTATCTTTACAGTTTGGTTGGGCATTCTTTCGGAACTTTACAGTAGGTCTATTTGTGAAATAAGGTGGCTCACCCCGACACGACCATTAGGCTCACCAAGTTCTACTCACTGAGGCCAAAGTGGGTGAAATACATCTTGGCACAAGGTGTGCGTGTACACGTACTGCACTAACATCAAGCTAAGTGTTTCTGCCTTAGAAAAAGCCACTGGAATAATAAGAAGTGCTGAAGATATTCGTGAACTGACTATATGCGACATTCCATCTACGAAGTGTTTCCTCGGTCAGTGCAGGTCATGCCCAACAGCTGAAACTCTTACTGCACCTGGCCTGGGAATCCCAGATGATGATGAAGTGTTGTACACAGCCTGGGAGAAAGGAGGGCTGGTAAGGAATGAAGCGAGTCCTGTTATATTTGTGGAACACCTTCGAGAGTGCTTGAGGAAATGGGTGCAGCTAAAATATATTCGACATGAGTAGGGCGAAACGATAAGTGAAGCAAAAAATTCCTAGAGAATGGTAATGTCCTCTTTCAATTTGATTTCACACAAAACTGGACAGTTGTACTGCCAAAGAAGATCAGTCATATTACAGTAAAACCTCGTCATAACAAAGTTGAGGGAGTGGTCGTAATTATTTCGTTATAACCATTAGTTTGTTATAGCCAATGTCCATTTCTTCACTATTAGCAAGCAAGGGGAATTACGATTGCTTTGTTATATCCATTAGTTTGTTATATCCCATTTTGTTATAACGAGGTTTTACTGTACTGGCAAAAGACACAAGTTTCGATCTTCACATGCATGGTGACAACTAGAAAAATAATGCGTAGCTGCGCCCTCATCAGCGATGACACCAGCCACGATTCCGCCCATGCATGCTACACCGTTGCGAAAATTTACGAGTGGTTTCAGGACGTTGCTTCGCCGTACGCACATGAGACGTACGTCAGCGATGGTGCAGCAGGTCATTTTAAGAACCGGTATCATCCATGAGCTCACAAAAACCAAGTACCTGTTGGTCAAATGGCTATTTTCAGCTACTGGGCATGGCAAGACACCTGCAATTGGATTGGAAGCCTTGTCAAACATGAATGCAACTTTTTTCAATCTCCACGGGCCTGCCACATCAGCTATTAAGTGTGCGCCAGATATGGTGGACGTCCTCAAGACAAAATTGCCAAATGTTGCACTAATTCACCTGCCAAGGCCTGACGTACAGGTGTTCAGGAAAATGAAAAAAGACTGGGATTCCGTCCGGCCCGTGACTGGAATTGAATCTTGGCACTTCTCGCAGTGCACAAGCGCCAACGCACTGCGGCACGAATTGCTAGTATCAAAAACGGGAGCGTCAATCTACAAAGAAGCCACTTCGGAAATAAGACTCACTTCCACCAGCGTCTGTGAACAGTGTAGTGCAAAGCGGCTACAACAAATCTCATGACATCTGATGACCAAAGTATTATAAAAACAATTTTATACACCGGATACCCTTCACTATTCATCTTTTCCTTCGCGTTTTACGGCCTGTGGGTACCTTTTTAGAAATGCAGTCCAACCCCGTGGTGTGAAACGGCTCTGAGTTCTTATTATCCGTCCGAAGGCGACTGCGCACGGAGGGGAGAAACCTGACCCTTGGGCCCGGTTGTCACGTCCCGCTGTTTACACCAATGCACGTGGGAGACCCAGGTGGAGCGCGCTAGGATGCCACGACGTCCGAGATAAACATGTGTTAAGCGAAGCCGCTCCGGTAGTTTTCTTTATGTGGCGTACACAGAGACCCTACACGCCAGCTATTGAAAACAGGCCCTGCGAAGCATGCGACATGAAAATGCCTCTCGATCGATCTGGGAAGCGCGATTTTCCTGCCACTTGTATACAAAAGCGCACTAAAACTTCTCACTTTAAAAACATTGTTTGCCTCTGCGCCATCAATTTGTTTCTTTCTGACCACTCTCTAACGTTTTTACACTTTGTAAAAATAATGAATTTGTCATCTGTGTTTATCTACACGCCCCATTCACAGTGCTGTGGTAGCCCCAATTCGGTCATATTTCTAGCTTTATAACTTCAAATACACAAAGATAATGCAACATGTTTTTGCAGATTCTTTTAGTACCTATCATTGGCCTTAATCCGGGAGAGTTTAAAAATAATCGAAGATTGCCTTTTTTTTTATTTGAGCAAAATAAGTCGTAATTATTAAATGACCCCATTTGAGCGTTGCTCAAAATTATTTAGCTGCCCTGGACAACCATATTTAGCACCAATATTAACAAGATATAGGATAACACCCTGGCAAAGTTTGAAAGTTCTGGTATTTATAGATGCGGAGAAAAAGATGAATAAAATGTAAGTATTTTTGCAAAATGTGCCATGTTTGCGACTTTTTTCTAGAAATTAACGTCAACACATAATGATAAATATTTTGAGTCAATACTCCTTATACATAGTTTTTTAGTAAATATTTCTAGACCGGCAGGCACAACAGCTTTTTTGGGAGCAGTGACTCAAATGCCAACTTCGTGCAATTCACAGAAAGCGCTTCACATTGACAGTCTGCTTCTAAATTTTTTTTTCGCAGGACAAACTTTTTTTCCGCAAAACTGATGTCCGTTTTGTTTTAATGGGTGTTGAGTCTACAAAATATATATTTTTGTAAAAATTAAAAATGGTCAACGGGCATGGTTGATCGAATTTATCTGTATGCTAAAGATTGCGGGCTTTGCGGACGCGTGCTCAATTGATGCTCAAAATAATGGCACAAGCTCCCGCTAGCAATGCAGTCCTTGCCTACAATCCACTAAAACTGTTTATTTACATTGAGAAAGAGGTGCCTTCTATCATGTGCCTGCTCTCAGCACTAGCTGCAACAAACGGGTAAACACAATTTATTCATACTTGGGAGTACATTGGCATTTTTTTTAATCATCTGCGTTCAGCCGAATTGGAGAAAACCTGTCTTCACAACCAAGCGACTGTAACTCTGCTCGTGTTATTACATTTGCCAATCGAGACGTCTTTCCATGCTTTAGAGCCCCTATAAAAGTGCACAAACGCTAGTTCTGTCACATTAAAAAAAAAAAACTATCCTCATATGAAAAAAAATCTTATTTAATTCTTATACAACAGCAAACAAGTACGGCCCAGCATGAGACATGCTCCTTGTGGGCCTCGCACGAAAATAGCGGCGGGTGGGTGGAAGGAGGAAGAGGAAGATTGCCCACAATGGAAAGGAGAAAAATGTGGGGACAGGGGGGATTGCACTTCTTTCAGTATATAGGGACTTTACCCATTAAAAGGGTACAGCCATTATCCTCCATTCATTCATCCAGCTTCAACTCTCTGGTGCAAGACATTGAAGAGGGTACAGCTTGCCCCAGTGCCCCAGCGGGTCTATATCTGGTGTCACCCTATCGCCTGAGCACCTCCAGGAAGCCCTCCGTCGCACCGTAAAATAACCGTAAAATTTACGGTGGTATTTGCGTAATATAAACTGTGAGTATGCCATGAAAAGGAATTAACTGAAATGCACAGTGAACGAGCAAAAAGAAATGAAAGCTTGGTCAAGCTTGGTCACCAAGCTTGACCTTCGGAAAAGCCACGGGTGCTGCGAGAACCCAGCGAGGCTCCTCTCGCCTCTTCACCTCCTTTCTTTATCCTTCATTTCAACATGCAACGCCGTGCCAATCGAAAAGCCCGAAACAAAGCTAAAAAAAATGCCTTTGGAACGAATGGCAGCGGGAGGGGGAGGGGGGCACTTGCTCGGTCATGTACAGAGATGGGAAATTTCTGGAAGATGTGCGGGGGGGGGCGACTGCTGAAGTGAGGGCTCATGCTCAGTATTTTACGGTACAACAGCCTAATACGAATGCATTTAAACGCTGGTTCAGCGGTCAGGTATCAATCATCTATTTATTGTCTTTCGCGGGTACAATAAAAACATATTGACTTTTACTTTTTGTGACGTGTCTTCAATCAGGTTGTCAGACGGAACCCAAGCTACAGACGAGATTAAAATGGTTATTTTTCACAAACCCGCAGCCAGAACATAACCGAACCACAATCTTCAGTAGCGGTTACCGGTTGTTAGAATAAAACTGTGCTGCAGTTAACTTAAAGCA